GGTGGGGGGCTCCTCGGCCTCCGACTCGGAGCTGGAGTCGGACCCCCCGTCGAAGGCGGACACGGCGCTGCCTTTGGGGTTGGTGTACAGGCTGCTGTCTGAGGACGAGTAGCTGGCCTGCAGCTGCGCCGAGCCCTTCACCTTCTCCAGCGCCCGCACTGCAGGGCACAGGGGGGGGGGTAGCCCCGGGCGGGGGGGGGCCGGCCCACGTGTGGGGGGGGGGGGGGGGGCCTACCTTGCTGCTCCAGCAGAGCGTTCTGCCTCTTGAGGTCGTCGATGTCCTGCTGGTGCGTGTGGTTTTTCCGCCGCATGTACTGGATGTATTCTGTGGCTTTGTCTAGGATTTGAGCTCGAGACGCCTGTTTGGTAGACTGCTGTTAGTGACACAGAGTGGAGCGGTGAAGCCAGAGTCCTCGTCACCGTGGCAACACATGTGCACGGGCGCCGCCGCCGGGGCAGCGCGTCCTCCCGTTAACTGCACCGGCCGTGGGGGGGGGCGTTCGCCCAATCTGCTCTGACTGTGGGGGATTCTGATGGCTGACAAGAGTCGCCGTCGAAAAAAACACTTTACTGGGGGAACTGGACCCAATTACGAGCCTGTGTCCCTCCCAGCAGACCCCCCCTTCCTGATGGGAGGTCTCTGAGGCGTTTTAGGTGGCGACTAAACCTTAAACCCCCCCATCTCAGCCTCATCCGCCTCAAAACAGAACGAGGGGGGCAGAGCTGCTCCCCCAACGGCCGCCTGACGTCGGTCCAGGTTCTTGGGACCGCGTCGGCGCCATCTGGCCCTCTTTTCCCCCGCGTTATTCTGCCCGTTCTAAGAGCGAGCGGGGAGGGGGGGGGTCATTTAAGCGCCGCCGAAACCGCCACGGCCGATGAGTTAAAGGCAGAAGGAGCTCTGACGCGGAACAGGAAGCATCAAACAGTGTGACAGTGCTGTGTGTGTGTGTGTGTGTGAGAGTGTGAGTGTGTGAGTGTGTGGTGCGCTGCGGGACTTACAGGCTGAGCGTTACCAACCTTTTCTCCCTGCAGGGCGGGCACCGAGTCGCGGAGGCTGTGGAAGCTGTCTTTGATGTGGTCCCTGCGCTTGCGCTCCAGTGCATTGTGGTGCGCCCGTTTGTCTGCCTGCAACGAGAGGAGGCACAGGGGCCTTCAGCCGGCGGCAGGGCAGCGGCCAGAGGCCCCGCCCACGCCGCCAGAGGCCCCGCCCACACCGCCGGCCACGCCGCCAGAGCCGGGCCGGGCAGGTTACCTCACTAGGTTTAGTTTTTCTGGTGGTTTTTGATCTTTTAAACCTACAGCAAACATTCAGGAGAAGTGGAGGCTTCGCCGTGAGGCCCCGCCCACAGGAGCCCCGCCCACAGGAGCCCCCCCCTCGGCCATCGCTCGTCCGTCTAACATAAGCTGACAGATCTTACTAAACGCGGATCGCGGACGATCACAGTTCAAATCAACCGGTGAAGTTGGGGTTCAGGGGCGGAGCCAAACAGCCCTCCGCTGTGACCCGGAACAGGAAGTGCTGGTGGGACTATTTTTCCCCCCAATGTTCTCAAATGATCATAAAAAAAGTGCAACAACAAAAAAAAAAAAAACATCTGAGATGCAGCTCGGGCCTTTGTTTTTCCCTCCTTCAGCTTCTGGGAAGGAATAAGATGGCCGCCGCTGTCAGGTGACCAAAAGCCGCGGTCAGATCAGCCCGGCCGGCATCAGGGCCAGACAGGGCAGGGGGTCACATGACCTGCCACCTGACTCGTCTCACCACATGACCGAGGCAAAGTGGCCACGGGCGAGTCTGGACGGGTTCCTCTCGGGGCGGGGTGACCACCTCCAGGCCACTGACTCAGCAGAATACAGCTGCCGGAGGGGGCGGCGCCAGCGGGTCCAATTGTCGCGGCGGCGAAACTGAAACTGGACACAGACGCTGGCGTCCGCTTCCCCGAAACAAACCCTTTCTGAAGGGTGAGGGAAGCCTCCGCCGGTCCAAGCCGCCCCGAAGACTGACCGGCTAACGGGGCAGTGTGTCCAGTGCTGGGGTCTCCGGTTTTTATCTGATGTGGTGAGACACTGACCCTAACCCTCTCAGGCTCAGCACCGGCAGCGGTCTGTGTGTGGGGGGGGGGGGTGGGGGCTAATCCTTACAGTGGTGCGAGGTGCAGATGACCCCCGCAGCCTTAACTGGATCGGCTGGACTGAAAGTGCTTCGTTTTGGGGGAATCATGTAAAAAAAATAGTCTTTCTTTTTTGGATAAGAAGCTGAAGGTGAAGGCTTTTACGCGTTCAGCTGTTTGAAAGGCTGAAAAGAATCAGAGATTCAATGAAAACGACACCGTTTTTGACACCTGGGCGGCCGTGGCGCTGCCCGCTCAGGGCCGGACGCCACGCGCAGCCACCGCCGGGCGTCACGTGACGGCTCCAGGCGTGGACAGAAGGGGTTTCCGGGTCTAACAACGGCGCCAACGCCAATAAAGGAGAAGCCTCGGCGAGAAAAAAAGAAGAAAAAAACCCCGAGGTTCACAGGTGAGGACTGAGACCGAGAAGAACCCGGCTCCTCTAAACTAACTCTAAACCTGCCCCTCGTTATCAATAAGCCAACAAAAAAATAGCCTCAGGAAAGTCCCCGCAAAGGGAGTTATACGAGTGGAAAAACTCCTTAAATATTCCGCTAGGGATACATGGAAGGCTTCTTAGGACTCGTCAAACTGCAGAGCCGGACGTTGCCACTGGCTCTCTTATCTTTGCTGTGCAGCGTATCGGCCGGCAGCAGGCCGGGCACCAGCGCCTGCTGCGGCCCTCCAGCGCCCAGTGTCTGGAGGCAGAGGTGACCATTCGGGCCGCAGGCCACGCCGCCTTTGACCGCCGGCACCCAACCCGGAGCGGACCCGGCTGCGGCCACTGGGTAAAACGGGGGGTGGGGGTGGGGGGGGGCGCTCTGTGTTGGGCAAACGCGGCCGCCCCGGGTCACTTTTGGGAGCCATGAGTGCTGCCCGACACGCCACAAACGGAAAACGCTGACCAATGGGGATGACCCGCCCGTTAGGCCAGGCCCTTCTCCCCCCCCCCCGGGGGCCACCGGCTCCACACAACAACAACAACAACAACGAGGCTGTGGAATGAGGGCCGACGCGGGCCGGGTCCCGTTTACGGGAAAAGCCTTCACAAAACACGTTCCACAGACCAGGAAACGGAGGGACTCAAAATGAAAGTAAGATTTGGCTCCATGCAACAACAACAAATAAATTTAAAAAAAAGAAAAAAGCCACAGGAGGGCGACGGCAGGCTGTGGCCGGAGGTCACGGAAGGCGGATTCCAGCCTCTGAAGAGCAGAGCTCTCCTAAAAAAGGCTTCCGGGAGAGAGAGGAAGGCGCCGTTTGATGCAGCAAACAAGTCGAGCAATGTGTGTGTGCAGCGCAGCCATACGTCATCCGGAGGGGGGAGATGGCTCCCATCACAGCCTGCAACCCCCCCCCCCCACAAACACACACACACACACCTTTTCCTCCCAACACCGACAGCACAGGCTCGGTGTGAGAGCCCCCGATGGGGAAGCGGGGATCCCCGACGGTGTGGAGCCAACCCGCCATAGGGTGGGGGGGTAAGGGGAGGGGAGGAGCAGGGGGGGGGCTGGGACCGCGGAGAGCAGACAGCTTTGTCTAAACCGGAAAAAATACGAGAGAAAACGCCGCCTCTGTGGGCTAAATATAGCCCGTCGTGACACGGTCGCCCCCATGTCCGCGGACGGATGGACGGACCCACGGAAGATGGGGGGGGGACGGGGGGGGACACCCTGCAGTGCCCACCCCCCCGGAGCCAGCACACCGAGGGACGCGTGTGTGCTGGCGCAAAGGATGGAGAAGTGTGCAAAAAAAAAAAAATTGAAAAAAAAAAGACACTCCTCTGATAAAGAAAAAAATTCAGCTGATAACATATATAGCATCAGAAACCGATTACAAGAAGCCCCCAAAGTGCAACCTCAAAAACATGTTTTTTATATATATAAAAAAAGGAGAGGAAATTGTGATGGGTAAATTAACTGTACGACAGAAGTGAAACATTTCTCGACAGTGGACAAATCCCCCAGCTTTACGCACCACAGAGTGATATCTCGGTGATTCTTCCTGCAAAGAAACAGAACAAAAAGTACAATTGTAGCCATAACTGTTCCGGATATCTCACTGTTTTCGCTGAAGTCACTAAAAACTCAAAGCCATTTAAGCGGGCTAGCAGTGCTTTGGCACGAGCTGGGCTAGTGCTGCTCATCAATTAACTACAAACCTGACAAAAATACTTGAGACAGCGTAGCGTAGCGAGCTTAATGGCAGCTAGCGCTAGCCGAGCAGCTACGCCAGCTACGTCGTCGGCAAGCAGAATAATGTCCACAAAACACGAAAGGCGGTCCAACTCACGTCACTATCGACTTCGATGTCATCGTTATCACTCATTCTTCGATAAAAGAGTGGAGTTTAAAGGGACGGGTGGCTAAAAAAACAACATGAAGGTTGGCACCGAGCGGCGCATTAACGAGACCGACAGCTAGCAGCGGCAGTTCACGTTCTGTTTGGATAGAACCGAGCTGGAATCGACCGTCTCCACGTGACTACACTCCACACGCAAGGCTGTTGACGCGCAGTGCGCATGTGCAGAGTTCCAAAGGCTTCTGGGAATCGCAGTCCCACGCGCCAGTTTTGCGTACAGTTTTTTACCGGAAAACAATGAGATTCTTGAGTATTATTTTACTGACGATCACGTAGGCGCATACACGTGACATGTAAAATCATTTAAAACACCCCTGACCTGTAAAACCATATTTTCAAACGTCAGGCATTTTGTTTTTAGAAACTACAATACCAAGGAGTCACCGAGATTGTGTGAAACGTCACAGAGTCGTTTTTCCCTGAAGGGCATCATGGGAATTGTAGTTTGGGGTGAATTTGGATGTCAAAGCCGTTGAAAAGGACCATAGCTGAAACACCTGGATTCCAAGAAAACTGAGTAGAATCATAATAATGTTATCAAAGAATGAATCTGATGGTTAGAATAATAAAACTCAAACTGGCTATACATGAATTTATTTATATTTTACATTAAAGTAAGACAAGTTTAAACATTCCCATCCCTGGTTATTTATAGATCGGCCAATAAAATTGCTGTAAAACATGTACAGTTCCTCATCAATGGATAAACAAATTTTTATGATCAAGACATTAATAATGTTTTGACCGTTTTACAGCACCATCTGTCTGTTATGGTGTGTTTGTTCATGCAAATAACTCTATGATGGTTCTTTTACAAACCAATTACTCAGTGGAATTATTGTGGAGAGAAATCCTTTTGGCCCTACTTAGAGTTTTCTAACAAAATGCTCATTATTATGCAGAGCTTAGTTTCTGCAACAACACTTTTAAGGCTGATCGCAAAACACTACGAGTATAAATCAAGGGGTGGGGGCTGGTTTTCAGTGCAAATTGCAAATAATCTGCTCTTGTGCTTCCTCTTTTTTTTTTTTCACGAAACTGTGCTGCAGATAAGGAGCTTACACCGAGGATTATTTTTTGCACAGCAACAGTGGGGGGAAAAAAGAAGCCGGGAGCGGACACATGCCCACCCCAGTAGGTCAAGAGGCCACAACAGCTGCAGGGGACGCTCTGCCCTCCATCACTTTCCCTGCAGACACACGGCCTCATACCTGCTCTGACCGTCATCCCACTGTCTCTTCTACCACTTTAAACACCGTTTTTATCCCTCCTCCTCTCTGTCCTTTCCCCTTCTTTTCCAGCAGTGGCTGTCAATTTTTGCGCCAAAAGCTGATTTTTATCTTTTTTAATTACCTGAAAAGTCTCGTCGTGGAAAGCCTGAAAAGGTCAAGCCAGAAATGTGGTGTGTAATGGTGTAGCCTATTTATCGCAATAAGGTCAAGCTTTAATAATGCATCTGCTGTAGAGACGCGTCCGTCTTCTCGGATCACAACCAAGACTCACTCAGCCATCACTGTGCACGGCCCCTACAGAAAAATATGATAACGAGGCTCTTAAAAAACAAAAAAATACATTTTCTGCCACCGTTGCCCACCCTAGAGGTATCTGCCCCCCGGGAAAGAGCTGAGTTGGATTCTGGACACCTCAGGTTCACGCTGCAGGGAGCTCGTCACTGGCAGAAGCGTTTAGCGGTGCCTGGAAAGGGAGAAATCCTCTAGAAATTCATACACAAGAAGCGATGCCTTAACTCTAATGAGCGGTCGGGTGATCGGGCAGGCAGAGCCTTTTACCCTCCCCCTACTGTATGTCCTCACTGAGCTGGCCTGCCAGACCATTAAATGCCCTCCTTTTGTCCCTTTGCTATATATTGAAGAGCACATTGGAAGTGCCTCAACGGGTAGTCATCTCTGGATATATATATTTTTTTTCTTTTGGGATACACAGTGACTTGAATGATGATATTAGTATTCACGTATTTAAATGTGACCAAGGACACCAAAAGAAAACAGAGAAAATGAAAACAGGAGTGATGTGCTATGGTAATTTTTACCCTGATAGAGCGTAAATCAAGGATTGAACACTCATTTTTCATGAAAAATGATCTCTTGAATTTGATGATTTGATCTGATACAATGATGGATGGACAGGCATCCACCGGTTTTCCTAATTCCTTACAAATCACATCACTGTTAAAAAATATCTAGATTTTCTATTGATGACTTCTACGCAGCAGCATTGAAAGATAAACCAAAAATTAAAATAAATAAAGAAACATCTTCTATTTTTGGCAAATGTTAAATATTATTCTGTGTCCTTGATTCAGATAATGTCCCATCCCTTAATAAGCCCACACAAGAAAAAAAAAAAAAACCCTGTTTCCGGTTTGCCAGACTGAGAGCCCTGCGTTGGACTTTAGCTTGTGGGTTTTGCTTGAGGCGGGTTTTCTCTCTGCAGAAGGGCACTAGATGGCACCTCTGCACAGCCTGTGGCGCCACTCGAGTGTTGAACCGGGACTGACAACATCCATAGACCACACACCTGTCTCAGGGAGAACACAAGACTAGAGGAACCTCCTGGGTCAACAGGTAAGCTCAACAGTCTCCTGTGTGTCGCCGTACCCCGGCTTGATTTTCTGAGTGTAAAATAGTTATTTGAGTTATTCTTCCGCGCACGGCCTGTGTGCACATGGGCAGGGGGGATGTGTTTGTTCGCTCTGGAGCTGAGGACTGAGTGTGAGCTCTGAATGCTGCTCCTCAGGGATGCACACATTCTGATTCGGGTGGCTTTCTGATGCAGGCATGTGAGGGAATTCAGCAGCTTAACTTCATGCCAGCAAGTGCCAGAGCAAGAGGTAGTGAAGCTAGAACATAGTTGTAAAATACTCTTAGGGCAATTTGAATCTAAACCATATTTTCTACTTTCATTTTAAGGCTCCTTCAACCTTTTCTGGTGGCAAACCTTTAGACTTGTAGAACTCATTGCTCGGTGGAACATGAGCTTGGCATCTATTGCGTTTAGAACCAAAGATTCATGAAAAAAATCAGCACAAAATATTTGTTGATGCATACAAGAAGTACAGTTTGAGGTGGTGGTGATTCAGTTTCAAATATCTTTAAAAAGCCACTTTTTTCTCAGAATTATCAATCCGATCTTCTGGATGTTGGACTAAAATGATTTCGTTCAGTAACTCTGAACGTCACTGAGAAGCATCCGAGTGTTTTGCTTCACACTTTGACACCTTGCCGTTCATGTGATATTAGGTGAAAGGCTTTCAGGACCATATAACGCGAACTCTGAACTGGAGCCTTTGGCTCAATCGCTGATCTGGTCTGATGAAAAGTGGCTCTTATCAGGGCAGCGGTTAATCTTTCTGCTCTCTGGACGGGAAGACGGCTGGGCGTCTGGAGCCTTTTTCTCCCACCAGGCCCGGCGTGACTCATGAGTGAGGTGTCTACAAACCCGGGGAGCTCAAAGAAATAAGGAGGCGACGGGGGCCTTTTTGTCTCCGTTTGTTTCCAGTTGCGGCCCCAGCGCTCCCAGTTCCGCCCCGGGTCATGGACCACACACCGGACCCGTTCTCTGGGCCGGGCGGGCTGCAAAGCCTCGGCTTCTCCGTCAACGCGTCGGCGGCCAACAGCAGCTCGGCGGGGGCCTTCAGCCTGTCGCCAGTTCTGGACAAAGTGGTCAACACGCTGCTCATCGTGGTCCTCTTCATCACAATGGTCTCACTGGGATGCACCATGGAGGTGTCGAAGATCAAGGTAGGTACCCCAACAAGTCCAGCAGATTAAGGGGAGAGTGGGAGTTTGTTTTTGTTTTTTCCTGTTCTGATATTTTCATATTCTTTTCTTTCCAGGAACACATTACAAAACCTAAAGGGGTGGCCATCGCCGTTCTTTCCCAGTATGGCATTATGCCTCTCACCGCCTTTTGCTTGGCCAAGGTTGGTAAAGAAGCTTCTTTTTTTTTTCTTTCTTTTCTTTAAAAAAAAAAAGGATAATAAATAAATAATAAATAAGTTAGTCCAAAGTCTCACTGGTTCCAGAGATGTCTGCAGACTGCACAAAATTCAAATAAAGCAGAATGGAATGATTTTCGAAGAATTGAAAGGCTTTAATTAAATTTAATTTCTAATAAACTAAAAAGAGGTAGCACCAGATGATAATTGTTATTGCTTATTCAGAAGGGTGGATTTTCATAACCTCCTGGGCATCCCATAGAAACCCACACCCCCTCTGCTACAGTGGGTGTGGTCCTTGTAGCTGTACAGTGGGAAAGATTCTGGGTCTGTTGTTCATCAAAACATTGTCAACATTTCAAAATGTGACAATGTTTAACACTTTTCTTTTTTTAAACATGGCAGAATGAACTGATAATGACAACAAACTTAAGTTACAAAATACACACACAAAGTGAGGCAAAGAAAAAGAGAAACATGGACAACCAAGCATCTCAAGAAGCTTAGCACTTAGAGGCCCAAATCTACACTCAGCACAGTTTTTTGGTATAGGGAGATTCAGTTTTCCAGGTATTGGCATGACCGAGGCCGACCTGGACCACATCTGGTTTCAGCCCTTTACCTCTGCGTACCGTGTCTCTCTTCCTGGTTTCAGGGGTTCCAGCTGCCTGAGATCTCGGCCGTGGTCATTCTGATTTGTGGCTGCTGTCCCGGAGGGGCTCTGTCCAACATCCTGGCTCTGGCCCTGCAGGGGGACATGAACCTCAGGTACGGACCCGCCGCCGCCAAACTCAGAACGGCTGAGTCCGAAAGGCGTGTCGAAGCGAAGCCTTAGTTTGAACATAAAAGGACACCGTTAACGTACTCTGGCCACAGAGAGACGCTTTATTAACAAGCTTAATTAACAACCTGTTTTTACTCGATTGGTCAACATCCCCAACGGATGCGAGACCAGGCCGTCCGCCTGGAGTTCACCGACCTCTAATCGTAAATGCAGGCATCTGTTGACACGTTCTAATGAGGCGGCGGTCCCAGAACGTCCTGTGACGGCAGTAATTAGGGGTGAACGACCGGCGGGTCATCAGCAGCCTGCGATTGTATCATGAGGAGTTGATACCAAAGCCTTCTGCTATCAATAAATGAAGAGGGAGGAGGTCTTTCACCCCGATATGCCCGCTCTGTAAAGCGGCCGGAGTGTGCACGACGGCCACGCGCTGCTCAGGACATTCCAGCTCTATCTGCCGTCTGAGGAGCTTATCTGACCCCGGGCATTAATGAAGGCCAATAAAGCGACGGCGGGAACAAAACAAGGAAAATTATCAGCCCGCTAAAAACAGCCTGTGGTGACTCAGCTGGGGCTTTATGTCAAAAGAGTTTTTTTTTTTTTCCCTAATAAATGTCCGGGGCAGCTAAGAAACGCAGAATGTGTGGCGACTGGTCATCGCAATAGACTGTGGTGGCTGGAATAGAAACCCGTAATGAGAAGGCCCGGCTGGCGGCCCCTGGAGGCTTCAGCGGTCATCACAGACGGACCTTTTTCAAAAAAAGGGAGAAAAATCCTGACCCTCACTCTTGTTATGAGAAGGTGAACCTTCCGGCCCTGGTGGACGGTGGTCAGTGACCGCCTCACACCAGGTTCACACTGTTTTGAGAATATTTTGGCCTTACAACAGAAGGGCTGAGACATCTGGATGAGGGATGACTGGGGGGAGGTTTTATTTTTGGGTGGGATTTGCTCCTAGATTTGAAATCATTGGGAAATTTCTCAATGCGGAACCCACAAAACGTAATTAAAGCCACTCATAAGGAGCACATTTTTAGGGGAAAAGTCGTTAAAACCTCAACACCAAGTGCATAGAAGCTAAACTCTCAGAGATGACCTCATACTCATGCAGCGGGGGGGCCGTTTTCCTGCTCCTTTCCCTCAGCATCGTGATGACGTCGTGCTCCACGCTGCTGGCCCTGGGCATGATGCCTCTCCTCCTCTACCTCTACTGCCAGGGCTTCTCGGGCCTGCAGAGCGCCGTGCCGTACGTGGACATCGTCCTGTCGCTGGTCATGATCCTGGTGCCCTGTGGCGCCGGCATCCTGCTCAACCACTACCGCCCGCAGCACTCCAGGCTCATCACCAAGGTGGGTGCGCGCTGGATTGAAAAAAAAAAAAAATAAAAAAGAAAAGCACAAAATTTTTAAGCATAACGTGGCTGTAGAAAAAAAGACTCAGATCAGTTGTGTGTGTCTGTGTGTGTGTCCTCTCCGTGTGGCCCTCCTCAGGTAGGCCTCACCATAATGATGCTCTCCGTTGTGGTGATCGGCGTGATAGCCTGCGTGGAGGTGGGAGGCTCCATCCTCACGGTGTTGTCTCCTCCCCTGATGGCCATCGGCGCCCTGATGCCGTTCATTGGCTACAGCTTCGGTTACATCATCTCCTCGCTCTTCGGGCTCAAACAGTCGTAAGTGCTTTCTCTTTCTCCCCGCGAGCGGCTCCCGCTGAACCGCCGGCTCCCAGCCGCTACCCACGCCGTCGCTCTACCCCCCCCCCCCCCCCCCCCCCCCCCCCCCCCATCCTCAGGGAGCGGAGGACCGTCGCCATGGAAACAGGCTGCCAGAACATCCAGCTGTGCTCCACCATACTGAAGATAGCCTTCCCCCCCGCGGTGATCGGGCCCATGTTCCTGTTCCCGCTGGTCTACGTGTCCTTCCAGCTGACGGAGGCGGCGGCGCTCATCCTGCTGTTCAGGGGAGTCCAAAGGCTCCGGAGAAAAGGGAAAGGTGAGCGGGTCTCAATTCTCACCCCTAAAACGCGGGTCTCAAACTCTGGCGATGGAGGTTTTGGGGCGTTTCAGTTTTGGAAAACTCGGCCATTCGGTGAAGTTCAGCTCTGAAAGCTGCTCTATGAGGGAGAAATTCCTCAGCTCCTAACATGTTTTTCCCCCTGTTTCCTGGTGACAGAGGGGGTTGAGAAATGTTGCCTCACACATAGCTGCTAAGGTGGACCAGGCTTCTAAAAACCATCTTGCGATTTTGTGATAGACACAAAATTACAGAGTGCCTTTTTGGAGGCTGCCAGAGAGCAAAGCGTACAGATGTGGATTTGTGATGCGCTTGCCTTTAACCTGCAGAGCCGTACCAGCCAGTGACTGCAGAGGAGAAGCTGAAGGAGCTCTCTGAAGGCACTGTGTGATGGCTGAACGTCGAACGTGGGCCCGGACTCCTCCCTGAAGCACCGACCCAGGCAATGAAGACCAAAGAAACGGTTTAACCAAAATGCCTTTATAGGTTAAGTCTACTGTTTTCATACACCATACAAACATCTATCATTTTTCACTGAAAATAAAATCCTCATGTACAAAAATGTGTTCTTCCAAACCCCCGTCTGTTCTCATTTGAACCACAGTAACGTCACAGTACCAACACGTATTCTTGGAATTGCATTTTAACGCTTTTTGAACAGAGATGCAAACTGTACAGAGTCATACGGACAAGAAAAAGAAAAACAACACAATGTTTAAACAGTCCGCATTCTGATGCGCTGCAGGATGGAGAAAAAAATGAATCGACTAGCTGATTTCATACAGGAAGTTTCCCTCTTAGCGTTACGGTTCAACCATCCTGCTGCTGGGTGGGCCGACGGGACTGTGCACGAGTCGCCTTCATACAGAAGCTGCCGGTGCCGCCGAGCTCAGTCTGACTGAGCTCTGAGCACTAACCAGATGCCAAATTTGGAAAAACAGAAGCACATGCAAGCACTCTAAGTCCAATACCTCACTCACACGCTCAAACACACACACACACACACACGCACACACAAGCAAACATACACATGTTGTGTACAAGAGGTTAGAAAAAAAACAAAAAAAGGGCTTGGAGAACATGAGGGTCCAGGACAAAAAAAATGTCCCAGTGACAAATAAAAGTATCACAAAAAGCAATGGAAAGTGGTGGTTTTACACTGCTGGAAAATGCAGGATCCCCATCTGCAGCGGGTCTTTAGTGAGCATCAGCCCAGATGTGTCGACTTACCAGGACCACGCCTCACGTGTCGCAGGTGTGTTTTATTTAAATGCCCCGGTTACGAAAATATCTTTCTAAAGGTCGCTGTTCGTCAGTGATGCGTCTGTGTGAGTAGGAAAAACTTTAAGAAAGTCACAAGAAAAAAAATTCCAGAGGAAAACCAAACTTTACTCAAAAAGAAAAAAAAAGAAGAAAAAAGCCAGCTTTTTCAGAGGTGGTCGCGGGGGGGCTCCGGCGGGCCAGCTCCTCCGAGCGGCTTCTGCCTACCTACCTAGGCCCTCAGCGCTGGCTGTCGGTGGAGGGAGACCTGGAGCGCGAGCCTGAGCGGGAGCGTGAACGGGAGCGGGAGCGAGAGCGGGACACGGAGCCTCTCTGCGCGGGGGGAGGGGAGGAGGGGGTCACCGACTTGCTCGTCTTGGAGCGTTTGTTGGGGTCTTTGGATTTTGGACTCACTGAGGAGGCGCCTCCGGCCGGCGAGCCGCTGCGGGAGCGGGAGCGGTGGTGGGCTTTGGCCGGGCTGCGGGAGCGTCTGGGGGAGCGCGACTGGGAGCGGCCCCGAGAGCGGGAGCGGGAGCGAGAGCGGGAAGAGCTCTCAGAGCGGGAACGACTTCTCGACCTGTAGCGGGGAAAAAAAAAAAATAAAGATTCATTATTTTTCCACAAAAAAACAAAACGTAGAAATGTTCGCAGTAATCAATTATTCAAACGTTCCTATTCCAAAAAGTTGCTAATACCAATAATGAGAAACAACGCACCTCTTTTTGGCTGCTTCAATGAGCTTGATTTTCCTGCCATTGATTTCCTTCCCAGACAGTTTGTCAAGAGCATTTTTCAGATCGCTGTAAGAGGCAAACTCAACTACCCTGCAAAAACACAACAGACCTGCATTAGTTTCACTGTTAGGGGGGGCGCACGGCTCCCACCCCCCCCCCAGTAGCGCCTCTTACCCTTCATTGAGCTTGGGACGATGTGCATCTGCGAATGTCACCTCCCCAGCTTGTCTCATGAAATCTTTCAGGTCCTACATATGTAAACTTCAGTCAATTTTGGGACGCTCACAATGGAGACACAGGCTGAGACATAAAGTGGACTGATTTACCCAAAAGAAGAGATGGTTAGATTCTCAGAACTACAGTCTAATGCAGATTAAGAGGATGAGTCCAAGAAACTCAAAGTCTGTTCAAACAGCTGCAGTTAAAACAAAAAATGGATAAAAAACAAAAAATGTTTTACTAAAGATTATTTTTAAATGAATAAAAGAAAAAAAAGAAAAAGAAAAACTAAAAAACAGAAAAAGTAACAAATAAAAGTCTTCTTTTAAATGTTAAAAAAAAATTACATAAAAAAAAAAAAAAAAAAAAAGCTATTTGAGCGATGCTACTAGCTAACAGGCTCGTTCTTGGAACAGCCTTGAGATCCTTGGACCCACCGCTCGTTACAGCTACTTAAAGGTGAACACCATCTGCAGAAGTGGACAGCAGTGGCACCACCTGGGCAGCTTCTGGCACTAAGAGCCCCATTTTCCCTGGCAGGGAGGGCACGGGGCCTGGTGCCGGGTCCGTCACTGCCGCGGCACCCCACCTCAGTAAAGAGAGTGAACAGGGTGGAAGAGAGGAAACTACTACCTGAGAGCGAAACCCTTTGGGGTGGGCCGCAGGCTCTCCGAGCCCACCATAACCAGGGTAACAGCAGATTATATCCATGGGCACCTGGGAGGATTTCACACTCTCTCGCGATGTGCGGGAACACCACAGGGGGAGGGGAGGGGGGATATCAATCGATCGAAGCCCCTCAAATTAACGAACCATCGATCAATACGCCACCACCATCACCATCGACTCTCGCTCTTTCCTCTGCTTTCTCTCTGCCAACTCTGTTTCCTCTCTCTCGCTCTCAACCACACATCGGGCGCTGCGAGCGAGCGAAGGGCCGCCACCGCCTTTAGTGTGGAGCGAGCGCTCACATGACCAGCAGGCATCAACTAGGAGTAGGACAGACTGGCTGACACCACAGGCTCAACCCAGACAGAAGGACCCAGAAGGGGTTAACTCCACCATAAGCGAGCTCTTCCATATGACACAACAGTCAGGCTGGCAAATAAAGGGGTGGAGAATTGGTTACAATTTGAAAAACAGGAACAAATTTAAGTGCTTTTGTTTGCTGTATTTGCTTTTTTGACTAATAAAGATCATTGTATTCTTTTAGAAAAGTAAAATCTGGGCTTAATTCATTATTATGGAAACATATTACTCAACCAAGTCTGACAATACTGATTTAATTTCAAATACAAACAGTCTATGCTTTGGTTTTTAGCGGCAGTTCTATTACTGTACGTGTGTATTGTTGGAAGCAAACATGTGTCATCTATAATCTGTAGCTGTCAAAGTCAGTACAAACCTGCCAGCTGACACGAGATGACAAGTTCTCCACTATCAGCCGGTTCTCTGTACGCATTGGAGGGGGGTTTCGACTGAAAGGGGAAAACATTCGTCTGAGCTTTTACAACCAAAACAAAACGTGAAAGGGGGCTTGTGGTGTGATCCTCACCTCCGGCTGTTCTGGGAGCCTCTTCCATAGCGATCAGAGAAACGACCTCCAATTCCGCCGCCACCTCGGCCACGGCCGCCTCTCAGACGCACACGCGCGTGCTCAATAGTCACCCTGGGGTTTGAGGAAAGTTTTCTTTAGAAATTACACCGACAAGGGTCGATTGCAACCCACAGGAAAGCCCAAAGTTCTTTATTCCTGCAGCACTGCTACTGTGGCTAAAAAGCTACATCTCAACATTACAATCAAACATTTTTTATTTCTGTATCTGCCTCTAAAAACTATAGGCAGCCACAGAAATATGGGAGAAATGAAGCCCAGGCCTCATTTCTCCCATATTTCTGTGGCTGGTTTTGCTCAACAAAGCCAACAAACTTGGAACTAAATCCAGTTCTCTGTGCCATTTTCTGGCAATGTCAAGAGAAGAAGAAGCCCGTTTCCTCCCAGCAATTCCTCCTTTCTGAAAACATCCAGTGTACGTAGCCAGTAAAAGGAAATTCCCACCTTTCATTGCAAAGTTCTTTTCCATCCAGCTCATAAACGGCATCTTCAGCATCTCTGGGATCATCGAACTCCTACAAAAAAAAAAACAAGCACACAGCACCCTTCAAGCACAGCGCCGTAAAGCAGGTCACGTTTGCAGTGTTCGGTTTCCAACAGCACGCTGCTCCGCTTTCTTACTGATATTTTAGCTACACTACGCGCTTATGGCTCAATTTGCCTTCAAGGTGCACACTGACTTTGCATGAAAAACAACAATGTCTCAAAATGGTGGCTGGTGCGTCTTCAGGCCTGTGGAGCAGGGCAATCTGAAAAGACTACATTTATTCTTTAAGAAAAACATTTAATTTAGAAAAAAGTGATTTTCCAGATTATTCTATGAGACAAAGCCTAAAAGGACAAGATGTCCTTATTTTTTATTGAAACATTAACAGATATGAGCTCATTATCTCTCATTTTGTAGAGTTCTTTTATCAAAAACACATTATGGTCAGATTTAACGTGATCCAACTAGTCTCAGTTCATAAATGTGTATTTCTGCTCTATGTGCTATTTATAGCCACGCAGGGCCTGGATCCCTGCAGCCCTTTCGGAGGCAGTTTTTAGTTCAAACTTTCATCGTCTTGGACGCTGAGATCGTGGCGGTTGTTTTGGTGCATGGGTGTGGCTAAAAGAAACAAGAATCAGAGGCATCATTGCCATTTTCTAAATGCCGCCGAAGCCTGAAATGGATGCACAAACGAACCCGTGAGTGGTTAATCACGGGCCTTCAATCCAAGATCAGGACTGTGCTACAGCCCCAGCAGACTACAGCCCGGTTAGGTGATCCTGACCTACTTTCCCGATGCGGTGACTCACCACGAAGCCGAAGCCTCTCTTCAGGTCAATGTCTCTAATGCGGCCGTATCCTTTGAAAAACCTTTCCACGTCCTTCTCTCTGGCCGATGGACTCAACCGGCCGATGAAAATACGACACCCACTCATGGCGATGACTGATCAACTACAAACAAAGCATCCACGTCGGTTAAAGCAGCCTAATTAAAGAAAAAATAAGTACCACAAGCTAATTTACAGTAATGGTATCGGGAAATGGATAACGTTACTTCTAGTGAGGTAAATTTCTGCAGAGTTATACCGGGATTCGTTTTATTTGCTGTCCACATACCTTTTCGACGTCGTAAAGGGAATTTTCTTCACCAACTGTCGACAGCAAGCTCAAACACCAGAATAAAACAAAATGGTGCCTCTGCTGATTCAGGGCGGGGTCTTATCGGCGACCCACGTGATCTACAAGGAAACCCGAGACTGCAGGACACGAATAGAGCCGAAGTGCCACGAGATGTTTTCCGAGTGTGACGCCACATGTTGTTGGAGGTGCTGTAGTTTCTAATACTGACCGCTAGATGTCACTCCTACAATGTAACAATGACAGATGTTGAATCAAATTTTACAGACTTGCTATTGCTTCATAAGGCTCATATACAGTAAAGTATAAAGTATACCTACATACATACATACAATCAGGCAAAAATATAAAAAATATATAATTTTAGACAATGCTTTGATGGAAATATATCACAACTTAAGAAATGCATATGCTCTGCAAAAAGGCCTCTCCACTTTCAGGTGGGTATCTTGAAAAATAAATCAGTCACAGAAACATAAAAAAATGACTATGTGCCTAATAAACTGTTTACCATGCCCATGTACTTTGCTTTAGATGAGCAAACGGTTGATCTGCATTTTGAGTTCACCACAGGAAGTGGAAGTTGTTTCAAACCAAAGAGGCAAAACAGAGTGAAAGGTACTTGAATGTGAGTCGCACATGCTTTAGAGGCAGCCTACTGAATATTACACTGATGACTTGATACAAAGTTCCAGGAATTGTGTTTGTGCATTTGTTCACACTGCACTGAGGAAGGATGTGAAATGTGAAAAACAAGGAACAGGTCATCCAAGATCTTACCAAAAGGAAAATAATTCATAATCCACTCACAACACTATTAAACCTGTAGACATTGCACTTCCTAAAAACATCTTGATAGGAAAACGCGGGTACCTCATCAGCTGGAACTTTATTTTTCCAATCACCACTGTGAGTCAGATTTGATAAATGACAATACATCTTCCACATTTAAAAGAAAGCTTTAATTAGAAAGTTATATACACACTGTAAAATTAAATTAAACTTTATACAAATATTAAATTACTATCTTCACACCCACTGCCATGTACAGAGGAAAATACCAAAGCTTAAAGCGTTGAAATTAAGAATCAAAATGTGGACTTCACTTTTTAACCTGTTATTTTCAGGGATTCCACACCGTACAACGGTGCTTCCTAAAGTTTTTTATCTCAATTCGGTTTTAATGTAATGCCTTGCAGCAAAAGAGAGGCTGGGGAAAACTGAAATGTTTGTATTTATAAGTTCACTATCATCATCATTATCATCGTCACAGTAGCCGGAGAAGCTCGGGGAAAACAAAAGAATGGACATTCGTTTAGTCGTGCCCACAACAAAAGTAAACTCATTGATAAATAGAAAGACAGTTTTATGCATAGAATAGAAAAGAATAGAGTAAGGCCATCAGGAAAACAACACGTTGCACTGTAAAGCAACCAATTTGGAGGCTTATGATTACACATTAAAAAAAGTAAGTCTAAGGCAACATTTTGTTTGCATTAATAATGTAGCCGTTTGACAATGACAAATCACAAATGCCAAATAAAACTGAGGACATAGAAATTAATCACACATTGTTGGACATGTTGTGTGTTTTTTTTTTTTATCCAGTTCAGCTTGAAAAGTATTCCTCGGGACGTGTCCAAGTCATGCTGTTTCCACGGTGACCAGCTCAACTACCAAACTTTTCAAGAAGCAAGGAAGGAACAACGATTACTTCCAACAGAACCAGACCATTCTCTCTTAAATCTGCACTTGGCATTAGAGGGGAGGCAGGGTATCAGTGAAGGGGGTGGGGTGCTATACAACAAAGCTTTTCTTATTTCACTGCAACCAGTTGCAGTCTGTGTCCACGGCGCGCAACAGTGGACAGTCTTCAGTGTGAAAACGGGCGTGAGCCAGTTCCTTTAAGAATTGTGTTTTACAGCCATTCGGCAGGAAATAAGTAGTCTAGCGTTAGAGTGGACGAATAATACACATATTGTGTAGCCAAGCCGATGCCTGAAGTGACGCTGATTTGTTCATGTGACTTGTCTATGGTGGGTGAGATACTTTCCCATGAAGACGGATATTGTGAAGGCCGCCTCTGATCAGGAGACAGACAAACCAGGACATGGCTGTATGGAGGCCTATCGTGCGAGCACATGTCCTCTCCTGCCTGGCTTGAATATAAAAATGAACACACTCACCCACAAACATGCACCCAGATTCAGAAACTCTAAGCAAGCAGAGCCACACACAAACATTAAATACGATGGGAGGAAAATTTATCAGGATTTAACTTCAGAGTTTAGTTGTGTGCCTAATCGCCAATATCAGAAGAAGATTTCTGCAGCTCACGGAGAGCGATACTCAATTTATTTTTGTCTTTAGCAGTCCCGATGCCAAAACAACAACTAATCAAACTCATGTGCCAGAAGGAGTGCCTTCTGTGGGAGACTGTTTGCAGGTGGCGACAGAAAAGAAAGAAGCCGGTCTGTGACATGGTGCCGCTGGATCTCCTCACCCAGCCCGTAGCTGTTGTGAAGAGGCTGTCACTCTTGCTAATCCATTTGCTAGACGCCGACAGAATACACAGGGCAAGCGACAGAGGAGGCTTCATGCTTTGCTCGCAGTGGGCCAATGTGCTGTGACAGCATAACCAAAAAAACAACATGCAGCATTCGCAAAGAGGGCCGCGATAAATCCAGGCGTGATCGCAACTTTTCAAGTGCAACAGGAAGACAATTCTGGGTTCCGAGCGCCACAGAGTGTCAGGAACCAAAACGCACCGGGTTCTTTTTTTTTGTGCCCACAGGAATCCTGTATAGAATCAAAGTGTGTTTAGTCTCCACAGAGGAAGCCTAATGCTTACGACTATTCGGGGTTAAAGGCATGGCAATGGTAATGGTAACTTGATTTACTTGTATTCACAGGATCTACAGGATTTACGTTGAGCTGGCACCTTTGTTTGTCTCGCTCGTCTTCGGTTTGATCCGGCCGCTGGGTCCTGTGGTGCTTCATCATTGCTTTTGATGCATTGTTGGTATCGGTTGTTGGCTTTTCTCTGCACGGGCAATGGCAGACATTTTGCAATGGGGAATGAGTGTTGTTCTAATCTATTCTCTGCTGGCTGCTCGGGGGAGAGGGGGAGGCAGGGCAAGCAGGTTTAACAGCCACAGTCAGTTTCGGCCAGCGGGAGAAATCAGGAAAGAGGTGCTGCTGATCCTGATAGCAGGCCAGCAGGCTTCATGCTTCCTTCAGCAAGGGAATATCTGCAAAGGAACAGAAGAGTAACGTGAGAAGAGTGGAGTGGCTGTAGGGTCAGTTTTGGTGCTGTTCACATCATCATATACATTCGTTTTACATTACATTTATGGTTTATGTATTTCTAATCGTGTACATGTTATTTAGTATGTATGATGTGTTAGTGGAAATCTACCACTTAAAAAAGGTTTTTAGAAATGCTTCTTATTGGTTAGTTTATCACTGTCCTCTTGTGTCTTCGTGTTAGACATTGTTGTAGCAATGTTTTTCAGCTCTTCAGCAAATCTGTTAAGCAGCACAAGTAACTGCCATTTACCATCAGAAAACTCGTCTGCAGAGGTGACGGAAAGCAGACTGTGCTGGTCGCTGCTCTCAGAGTCTCTACGCAGAGGGAGGGGGCCTGCACATGCACCCCCAGGGTGCTCTCGAGCCCATGATGATGAGGAAGAACAGGAGGATGAGGAGGGCGCCTGATGAACCAGCACCGTTTCTGCATGGCGGCGGGAAGAGAAGGATGACGAAGAGGACGAGGTGGATGGGAGACAGAAGTCCAAGTCTCTGTGGTGGCGGGTTCTGCTAGAGTCCGGGCCTCCCATGGCTCCCTGGGGAAGCCCCTCAGAGAGTACAATTGGGACTCGAGACTCCGGAGGGCCTGCAGGTGGTGGAGGAGAGGGGGGAGGGCCAGGGGCACTGCAGACCCCACTGCTTCCATACACAGCCTCTTCATAGGAGGGCAGAGTCACCTGGACGCCCTCCACCATGATGGAGCAGGGCTGGCCGGAGACTCCCTGCTCCCTCCTGATGAATGGAGAGACAAAGGCAACATGAGAAAAAGCTCATCTGATCTAATCTGAAAACAGAGTTCTGGTTCTGAACTTGTGCGTGGCGCGGTGCAGCAAAACCTCTGAATGGCGGTGAGGTGACTGTACAATCCCTTTATAGCACCCTGCACACGGCCCTCTGCCCCATTACACAATCAGCAAGAGTACCAATGATCATTAGGCCAAGCCATCCTGCCTCGTCACAGACAGCAGCAGAAGCCAACATTGAAGGCTCCGAGATTCACTTTCATTTTCTCAGGTAATCAAAAAGTAACTACTTGAGGGACATGGTACAAGTGAACAGCAAAGGCAACCAAAACAGGCGTGTCCACAGAGAGCAACTTTCCAGTTTAGCCAGAAAGCTTTTTGCAAATGACTCTGCTATTGTCTAAGGAAGGGAGGCACCCCCCCAAAGCTTAAATAATTTAGCATGTGTATCTTACCTGTTGAGGTGGAAGGACTTGAGTTTTGGCTGTACAAGAACAAACAGCACCACTAAAAGCAGGATGAGAACCACAGGAACAGCAGTGTACATCATGATGTATAGAGCTGGAATAAGCACTGGAGAGCTTGGCTCCTTGTCTAAACATGACAAAAAGACAAAGAGGAGGTCAAAATACGATCAGTGCGTTCCTACGTCACGTAAAAGTGAGAGCAGACATAACAGACCTTGTGTCAGTCTGCAGCTGATCTGCAAGGGACGGTCCCATTCTCCATTCTTGCAGGTGAGGAAATTGTAATCTCCCTTCAGAGCGTAACCTTCATCACAAAAGTACTCGATGACTGTTTTATGGATTAGACGGTGGCAGGGAGACGGGTGACAGCGGTAGCCTCCATTCTCTGGTTCGGTGGGTGGAGGACAAACTGGAAGGAGACAAAGGAAATAAGAAACTTCATCATTGTTGCCGGACACAGAGCATGTCTCCCATCATTACTAGCTGTGGTGAGATTTCAGTGCTTATATGACATGAATTTACCCAGCATGCCCTGCTACTTCTCACGGAAAAACGTCTGTTGCCATTATTACAATGAGTGGAGCAGTAGTTATGTGAGACTTAACTGTTAGTAATCCTGTGTTTTATGCCCTTATAAAGTCAACATGCCAACAAAATCTGTCCAAAGTACCCCAAATGACCACATATTGTTAAAAAATTATTTAAGTTGTATTAGATAAGATCTTCCTGTAGCAATAAATAACGATGCCCACCATTGATTTTCATGCAGCTTGGAGGCGGATGGGACCAGCCTCCAGAACTGGTACAAAAGATGGTGGTGGGTCCAGTGGCTGTGTATCCAGGATCACAGCCATATATTAGCAGGGAGCCGGGGGGAAATGAGCCCCGGTTGGATTCAGTCTGGTTCAGCAGGAATCCGTGCTGCACGCTGGGTGGACGTACACAACCTTCAGAGACAGAAACAAGTGATGACAATTATTATTGGCTGGTTGCTTAAAGTTCTTAATGATGCTGGGTCATTTCTGAATGGGGGAAAAACAGGATCAGAGGCCTTTCGCAGTCCCTTATGCAACCGGGTCCCGGCAGCGGGCCAGCCGCCAATGTCTGATCCTGGTCCATATTTTAATCATCTAAGATACCCATGTTACCACTGACTATGTACGTTAGCATATCAGAGTGCAGTCTGCCGGCAGACAGAGTGTGTATCACTCACACATACTCAGCTCAGTATGGATTTGATGGGTCCACGTTCTGGGGACACAAACACTGTTTGGACAATGTTCTTTTTACAAGTATTTAAAACTATTTTAAATGGTGCTTTATGCCTAATTTCCTCAACAAAACCAAACAACTAAATAATAATTTTATCTATCACATTAATGTGTTGCTTCCTGTGTATTTTGCCGTATTATTCCGCTCACATAAACGTTTTTCCGGGTTCCTCAGCAGGCAGCAGTCTGCCGCTGGGTCCAACAACGATTCAAAGGCAAACTGTCAAATTGACAAGTTGAGCTGATAATTAAAGCTCAGTGGTATTGTTACTTGAAACCTGGCTACCTTTCACACGAGCTAGAGGGAAACGCTGTATCAACATGACAAGCTAGGTACAGGCAGTCATTCAGCTGGAGCACAGAAAACACTTTGGGGAAATTCATTGGATTAGAATGTCAGAGGGAGCTTCATATAGATCTAATTTCTCTCGATTATCTCCTGCCCATTAAACCGTCTCCCTCCCACGCTGGCATTAGGTCCATCTCTCTGCCGGTGAGACAAGATAGTTCGCAAGGCTCATTTGCTTGGTGCTAATGATGGACTTGAAGCTCTAAACCAGCCAGTAAACACGGGATGAGGCAGAAGACCTAAACTTAATTGTGCTTTGATCCACCTTCCTATGCTACATCTATGACAGTGCAGGGTCCCTTCGGCTACTGGTAATCTGCAGTAGAGTAAATTATCTTATTTGTGTAGCATTCCAACAGTTGCAAACAATCCCCCCCCAGACTCAAGTCAGTTTAAACAGACATTTGGAGCTGCAATCTGGAGACCGCAGGGCACCAAATCCAGGATATCTGAGACAACACTGCTGCACCTGTGTACACTGAGACGTGACAGCAGGAGAGCACAACGGCTTTCATTAGTGAAGAAGACCAAGTTGAGTGGGATCAGATACAAATTACATTTATAAACTCAAATCTGACTTATCTATCTGATGCTAATGTATATCAATAGGCAATATCAATGGAATACCTATTGAATAGGTAATGTAGCAGTAACCAATGATAACATAACAGTTTGACTGCTGCAAAGTAGCCTTTTTACACTACTGGGGTGTTATAGACTTCAAAATCCAATGGAGACCTGAAACAGGTCTAGAAAAAGAAATTAATTGGTCATTCAGTTTATCTTTCTAACAACTAATCCATGGTCGGGTGGCTGTCAAGAAGTCATTCTTAAAGGTAGGTAAACATGGCGAAAAGGCTGCCAAACCAGGAAAACTATTCGTAAAGACTACTTGAGAAAAAAAGGTTGGATTTACACAATACTGACTTTCAGGCTTGTTAGGTCCTTATAATCTCAGATTTTGCCATTTATACTGAATTTTGAGTTACCAGAGCAAAAAAGAACTTTTTATATATGCTTTACTGCAATGAGTGAAATAAAAACATGCTCAAAACTGTTTTACACCGATCAATACCAAAGATCCCATGTCTTATTCACTCCGTAGTTTGAGTATTTATAAAATCATAATAGTCTGTCGCAGTGCTTTATCGCTTGCTTGGCAAAAAACAAACAGAGCAACAATGCAAACAGCCACTTTGTCCGTCTTGCCTCTGTGTGTGTGTTTAGAGATTGAAAAGAGACTATTTCCACAGCAGTGCCTCTAACATCCTCTAATCTCTGGGGAGAAACGTTGCTCTAAGCTGGCAGCAAAAGATTAAACGCAAACACTCAAATGTGCAAGCACCTACTCTCTCACACACAGAAACACACACAGAAACAAAGTCAACACCCATAAACATAGACGGGCCCAGGGCTAAGACGTGCGACACCAATGAGTGCATAACCGAATCATGCAGGGGAAGTTCGGGTGTGTGCTCATGAAGCTGTGAATAGAAAAAAAAAAACACATGCAGTTACTGCGGTTAATATAGGTGTATTTGTAAGCTGCACATGCCATACTGCTTAACACTGAGGCTGGATTATCTAGATCACAAGATATTTGCTATGCAGATGTTAAACAATAACAACAAAACATTACAATCACCATTTTCTCATCTCCTGATAAATATAATAATCATGTGGCTTATCAAACTTCACAAAGGCAATACAGAGGACTTTCCAAAACGTATAATTGTGTGATAAAGATATGAGTCCTATTAATCCTCAAAACGTTATACTTAATTACGTAGAATCTTAGGAAAAAGCCATAGTAGATCATTAAAAATAGGCTTAAGTGTAACTTAACACAGTGAAACAATAAATAGGTTTGTGTCTAAAGTGATTTTGACACCACCTGTGTCACACCAACCCACATCACAAGATGTCATTTGACACCAGGACTTGAGCAGTTGTTCACTGAAAGGCTTCGAGACAACTTAAGGGTCTCAGAGGAGAGGATGGTGGTAATGGAGGTGATAAAGGTAATGAATTGATGACCCCTGGCCTGGAGGCAGCAGGGGACAAAGAGGCCGTAGGGGGTAGTTTAGGACAGAAGCCTTTAGCCATTCTTTAGGCCTTTTGTGGTGAGCTGCATGATAGTCAATAGAGCTGTAGGAGACAGATGAGAGGTAATGACACTCATCTTTTTCCTTTTAAAAAGTTCCCTCATCTGTGCGGTGGTATAAAAAGAAAGGCTTGGGAATATTAAGGCATGGTTATCAATAAACCGAAAAGCTGAGAAGCTCTGACCTTACAGAATGCATACCCCATGCATTATACATTATTATGATGCTGTAATGCACTTTGAAATGTGTATGAATTGTGCTCTACAGCTAAACTTGACATAGGCTTCCTCCCAACTAACCACTGTACCGTCTAAATTACTTTGATAAAATTACTTTCCGTTTGTAAATAATGAGGTTATGTTGAAATAGCGGTTTCAGTGACAAAAATAACCATCAGCTGTAACTCCAAACCTTACAACATGGCAAATTGTAAAATAGAAACTAGCATCAAAGACTCCAAATATAGATCATATAGAGAGAGAAAACTAAGACTTTCTATTCTCCGTACATCTCTTGGGATTACAATACAACTCTGTGTCCTCCTGAAAAAATTGAAAATGAAAAGATCAGATGTGCTTGAAAACCTGACGCATTGAAGGAATTTGGCATGAATCCAGTCTCCCACAGGAACAGAGACAAATATCATTTGCGACTTATTTTAGTCAGGTGAGCCTGGCTAAACTAAGTCAGCAATTGAATTTAACCCAGCACATAAGGAGCTGCTTATGTTAGAACTTGAATTACTGACAGTCTCAGTTTTTCATCAATAAATGTTTTTTTTCCCTTTTGGCGCAGCAATGTTCCAATATGACAATCCCAGAAATGGTTGGGCTGAAATTTGGAAAGAGTAGTTCGGAGAATATGAGACATCACTCTGACATGTGGGCTGCCACTACAGAGAATCTTTCAGACGTGCTGGCGAAGGCTGTACAGTGACACTTTACAAGATGGTGGTCCAAAAAAACAGTTTTGATTTTTATGTTGTTTATTTGCTTTGGCCAGGCAGCTTGCAATGTTAGGAAAATGTACTCTTCAATTAAGGGGGGGGGGGGGGGGGGGGGAATGGAGGGCAGTGTAAAGCACAAAATCACAAAGTCCAGGGGACATGTTGTGGCAAGTTACTTTAACCATGAGTGCTGTACTTAAAGAAAAATTTGGTATTGCAGTAATGATAGCATGAGGCAATAGGCGATTACTCGAACCCGCACAGTGGGGCAGGCAAACAGAGAGACGCTGTTAAAGGAGAAAACAAATACTGCCCCAGTGTCCACAGATGGTGCAACAGTCAGTAATTAACTTGAGGTTCTACACTTGTCCATATCTCAGCGGAGAATGAATGTTGGCTTTAAAAACACACATGAAAATTGAAATTATGAGAGCTCTTTCTGAGATGTCTGATTGGATTTAGGAACAACTTGTTTTGTACTTATGAGGAAGGGAATGAGTCACAGTCCAACACAAGCTGTTCTCCCACTGGTATGACGCCACAAGTTAGCTGGACAGAACAGGTTGTACAGAAATATCACAAGATTATAATGACTAAAACAGACCCATCGGCAAGGCACTTAATAAAGCTAACATGTTCAATATATTTTAAAAAGCCCAGCTCATTTCTGATTAAAGATACAGTCTACCGGTAGTCTGAGGACTCCAGTAGCCACTGAGCTCTGGCATTTGCAGAGCGGAGTTAAATAAAAATGGTCATATCAAAAGGTTAAACTATTAGAGATCCACTTTGTGCACAACTGTAAGCTGATCAAAGAGCTTAGTTAGTAGAAGATTTGAAAATCACTTAATGTTGACCGAAGAATGGGCAAGGACAGAGCCCATGAGGCTGATCGTTAATCCCAACAACCAATGCCTTCAGGCTGTGCCTGAGGAGACTCGGACCACAGGGGGTGTTAAAATCCCCTGACTTGCCTTTAGGTGCCGAACTGCCTGTGAATATCTCCCCCCTTCCATCTGTTACCGTTGGCACTCCCCTGCTAGGAACTAGGGGGGGTGTTGGATTGGGAAAAATCTGGATGGGGGGGAGAGACAGGCGTTTTAACCCGAGCAAATTAAATTTCTAATTATCCTCCATTACAAGCTGGAAACACTCTAAAGCGAATCTGAAACTGATTATTTCAAGGGCAAGCTGTTTAGTCGCTTCATACAACAATAGGCCATAAAACAGGGTGCGTTTTCCACTGTTTGTTTAAGTGTGTTGTGAGCCGGGGAAT